CTGGGTTTGGTAAAAGTTGCATTAATTTGAGTCTGTCCTTTTACCTGTTATAAAATTTGCAGTATGCTTTAAAAAATCATTATAGGTTGCTAGGTGGAAATGGGCAGTTGAGACAAATGGAAATGCAGACATTATTTGCTTGAGATAATGTGTATGGCAATTTGGCTGCAACTAGTAATTTTGATTCTGAGGTGAATTTACTTTTTGATTGCAGAAGTTATGACAACAGTGCTAAGAAGATGAAAGCTGTTGAGATTACGACATATGAATTCGAAAAGTAAACTGTTTTGACCACATCAAATAAAAAGCTATTGGCATTTGCACAATAGGTACCTGCTCCAGAACTGAGCTCTGACTGTAATCTTGACCTCTGCTTCTACAGCATTCAGCAAAAATAAATGACTTGGCAAATTAAATTCATTGTGCTAAATGCAAGCTCGGTTGCTTGCAAAGCTTCAAGTATGTGTAAATAGCTGTAGAATGGTGCTACCTCATTTCAGATGTTAAAATCCTCTTTGATAATATCATAAGATAAACTTTTTGTAATGGACAGTTTTTCTGAGCTTTTCTTTTGCTCCCATTAACATGCATATGTGAGAGAGATTACAGAAGTTGACCTTTACGGCTATTAAACAGTAAATGCCCATTTCTTCTCAAATTTAATGGAACTTCTGTTCTTAACCGGTCTATCTAAAACTCACCCACTTCACGTTCAGAAGAGTGGAGTCTCTTGTGTTATAGACTCAGCAGCTCAGTCATTTAATGCTAGCTGTGATACTGAAATGCAAGTAAGCGTAGTGTAAGGATATATGCATTGTCTGGGTATAAGCAAGATCAGGTCCAGAGGAAATTTGGCCATGTTTGTCTGTTGTTATGTCCAAGCTAATTAGCTGTGTCAACCATCAGGGCTCATTACTTGGACTCAGCATTGCACTAACATGTCTAGACTGTACCAGAACATTACCACAACAGATTTCTGCTACCTCTGGCAACTCATAATGTTCACATCATAGCCTTGTTTATACTGTGCATGGAAAGAAGGAAGGCAAAAGCTTTCAGGAATAAACAGTTTAACACCACTGGAAAAGATCAGCCATGAATTCAGTTGTAATGACTGCTGCTCCTAGTTCCAACATCTAAATATGTCAAAGTGTCAGGTCTGTTTTCTTCCATTATTTCTCTCCTCCTGAGAATATATATGTGTATATATATATGTATCTCTCACTGGAAGCATATATCACTGAAAATCACTTTAGTATTAAGGCTTATCAAGGTGCTAGCACAGAAGAGTCTGTTCTTTTGTGTTTGTCCTAACTATCTCGCCTTACGTATTTTTTGCACTGGCAGCCCAAACTGATTGTGGCACCTTGCATACCTTAACACCAACCTACTCTTTTACTATGTCCCTCTAAAGCAGGTTGTAAGGATGTCATTTTAAAAACAAAAGCCTCCTTGGAAATAAATATTTTCTTGCTATCGTATTGGTTTTCTGATATACATTCAAAGATAGACCTATTTCTAACAGCATGAGAAGTGTGTTTGTTTTCCTGCTTGATGACTGACTAGTGCTGTAGTTGATATACGCTCCTGACTGTACAAGTACAAAGGCAAGACAAAAGATTTCATTTCTGTGCCAAGAAACCTGGGACTAAAGCTCCTAACCTTTCTCCTCTGATTATTGTAACTTCATGCCAGTGAAATCTGTGGGTCTGAACAAAAAAACTCTTAAAAAACTTCCTCTTATTTCTGTAAGAGGAACCATTAAATTTGCAGTGGTCTCTCTTCAGAGTGATTACTAGATTAAAGATCTGCTGTAAGTGAGCCCACAGTCACTGAACAGAGTGTTTTCCAGCCATGACCTGAGAAAGACAATGGTTTCCCTGTTAGTAGCTTGGCTTTGCTACTTCCCCCGGGGAGCTACTAACACAGCTTACAGGAAATGAACTTACAAAACATTTGTAATGATTTGTTTCCTAGGACGGGTAACCATGCAGAATATGTCTTTCATTGAAGGTACATGCCTCAAAAAGTGTGAAAAACTCACTCTGGAATACAAGGCAAGCTAACAGGGTTTAGACATTTTTATGTTTAACTGTGACTACAGGAACCAGCAGTGCATGAGGATTCCTCTTCAGCAGCAGTGAAGCAAGCATTAGGGTAACACTACAAGAAACAAACATTTGCTTTTATATATTCCATCTAGTTTAAGGCAGATCATCTAAGTTCCCTGTGTAGTCAGTGAGCAGAAGGGAATGCTTCCACGTCTTCTCAGATTTTTCTCACTACAGTGAGCGAGCCGTTCCATCTCTTCTTCTGTGTTATCATTATGCTGGGAAACCTCCTGGAATGGCCTATCTTTGTCCTTGCAAACTGAGAGCAAGCAGGCTGTGAATGTGAGTACCTCTCACTTAAGTGCTTAAAATGAGGTGCAGCCAAGTCCAGATCTAATTCCAGAACAACTGAGACATCAATATAGAGAGAACAGGATTATAAGAACAAGAGTAGACTTGGGAAAGTGTGCTAAACTTTAAGAATACTTATTTGAGAGATGACATATATTAGATTTGATAATATTTTTAACTGCCTTTATCTAACTGTTGGCACATTCATAACCATTTGGTCTCAGTAGGCATTCTGTATTTTTAACCTTTATAGGCTAGATGAGTCTTTGTCCATCTTGAGAATTTTAGAAGACCATTGTATGTCTGAAATGGCACATTTCTTTGCAGATCTAATATCCGGTTCTGCGGTATCCCTGTAAGTAGAACTCTCATCAAAGTTAGCAGTAGTTATACAAAAAGGTCCAGAGACTATTCACCCTGTTCACCTATTAAAAATGTTTCAGATAAGACCTTCGCAGTCCCAAATATAAATGCAACTACCAACAAACCAGTCCCTGTAGGCAAATAATGTAAGATTGATGTGTGTCTGTGCACACAAACACACACACATTTAAATACACACAATGTTGAATAAAAAAATTTAAATCGGAACTGAAAGCCTTTTCCTCTACCAAAGTTAGACATTTCCCAAATCTGTCTTTCATCCTGCAAAGGTTGATGACCTTGATAATACTCAAGCAGGTCTATGAATCTGCAGTATTTTTCAGTAAATACATTCAGTTCCATCAAGTTGTTACAACTCATGATTTTAGTTTTAGTAGATAAGTAGAGAGGCAGCTGCATTTGTTTCACTGATGTGACATACTAAGGGGTTTTGTTTGTTTTCTTGGTTTTTAAAAATTTATTTTGTCAGTTGTGAACTACAGGAAAAATCTTGAAAGCAGAAAAGAAAATTTTTCTCCAAAGCTTCCAACTTAACTCTTGAATACGATTCCAAAATACTTCTTAGCTCCTGCCTTCTCAGATGAAGTTTTGGCTTAGTAATAACTGAGCAACTACTTTATGTTACTTCTGGTTAGTTTTAATTAAATTCCTATTTAAATTGTTCCATTTTCTATAAAAATAAATAATCAATCTGCCACAGAGGAGATTATTGCCATACACTGTGTAGTCAGTCAGATTGTCCTCAAGTACTTCATAAAAGCATGGATATTTTGTCTCTCTGGTTATCTTACGAGCCTCTCCAAAACCTTCAAAATACAATGTCTTCACAACATGTGGCTTTATTGAGCTCAGTTGTAGTCCAAAGCAGGTTCTTCAATTCCAAAACATTTATTCCACTGTAACAGAAGTCATAAGTTTTGCAATGTACATATAGTCTTAAGAAAAATTGATTGAATCATGGAAATGATGAGCCCAACTTCCACTTACCATTAAAAAGGATTTATGTCTCTTCCTTTCGGTCAATTGTACCTTTTCTGCATGCTAGACATGACTCTGTAAACTTTTCCAGTCATTTCCTTTGAATTTTGTCTTTCTTTCTATGCTTGATGAAGGGAAAGTATTCGTAGTGCCACTGATAGAGCAGTGATTAATTGCTATGATCTTTGTCAACTTAATTTGAGTTGGCCATGTGCTGTATGGTATTTTCAAGCACATTTGTGATATTATAACCCCATGATTATAATAAATTCTCGCTAGGCAACGTAAGAAAATTGTATTGAAATACAAAGAGAACTTGTGTAGGTCTTCAAATTACATCCCAAACGTTGGGGAAGGTAGGTATGATTTCTGCTGCGCAATGGGAAAACTGAGGCACTGTCTGTGTGTGCTTACTCTTATATGTTTGAAACAGAAATGGAAGGGATAGAAAAGGGGAGCTGATACACATCTAGGATGAAACTGGGCTATGCTTTTATGCCTATTTAGTTTGTGAAATTGCTGTGGGTAGAAAAACTGAAAAAGGGAGGAAAAAATGAGGATAAACGATATCTCTGTTAAGTGGGATAACACTTAACCTCCTTTGCTTTTTGTCCTTCTTTCTTATAAACTGTGGAACTTAAATATTAAGATAAAAGTCTATTCACATTCCAGTTTACATGAAATAAGATTGATTTTGGTTTAAATGCTAGGTGCAAGGGAACTAAAATTAAGTATTTACCCCTTTGGTTAGCTGGGAAACATTTCCAAAAGCAGCTCCAGTTATATATCGTGTTCCAGTCTGGTTTTTGCAGCTTATCTATGAGAACATTCAAGTTAGGGTTTCATTATCTATATTCACCTTTGTCTATTTGCACCAAAGTGAAAAATGTAAGGAATTTTCTGGCTTTTGCACAGGACTCAGCTCAAATAAGTTTAATAAGATAACAAATTTGGTTTTGCACACATATTCATACCTGTTGACACACAAAGTTGAAATTGTAGGAGGCAAGAAAAAGAGCCCAGTGCTGATATAACAATTGCTGTTCTGAAGCAGGCAAACCAATACTTGAAAAGAAGCCAAAAATACCTAGAAAAATTCTAAACATTAAAAAAAGCTTTATTTCATTTATGGAGAAGAGCGAAGTGCTCTCCTTGTCTAATGTGGATTTTATGCTCTCTTGCTACCGTCAACATAAGGTAAAGAAACATTTATGGACATTATTCCTCTTTCACCAGAACCATCATTCTACTTTGGAAATGATGAATACTATGTTGATGAGAGTGCTGGCTATATTGAGGTACGTGTCTGGAGGACTGGAACTGATCTCTCTAAAGCTGCCTCTGTTACAGTGAGGTCTCGCAAATCTGAACCAATAACTGCAGAAGGTAAGTTATTGTTTTGCTCTTGTTTCATAATACATCTCAACAACAAATGCTAATACATTTGGTCTCGACACAGATTCAACTACATAAGATGAAATTTATACGTCTCTTGCTCTTAGCAGATCTTTCTTCTTAGAACAAATTAAGTAGTTACAGAATTTCTCTCAAAGAAACAGTAGGAGCAACTGTGAAGTACAGCACTAAAAGAAATGCCTTCAAATTCTCATATAAAACACTACCCCACTAAGGCAGTTGATTACTGCCTCAACAACATACCCTGGGCACAAAGTTATAGCCACTGGCAGCATGCAGAGTTTGCTCCTCTCATTGTTACTGTAGACAATAAGAAATTACTCTCTAGTATCCTGTTCAGCAAGAGGATTGCTACATCTGCATGGTTCACTGATACTTTGACAGAACTTTTGTCTGCAGAATCAAGTGTTAGTGTACTCTGGGTTTTTTTCCCACAAATCACAATGTCTACAACTAAGACATTCATATAAAGACAGCATAAAAATTATCTTTCTTAGGTGCTTATCCTGAGTGTAACTGGACAATAGAGTTTATCTTCTCAACTAATTTACGGTGAGGCAAAATTGTGTAAAACTTTACTGTTATTTCAGGAATATCTAAACATCTTATACATGTATCATGCATAACGTGATAAACATCATATTTCTCATTAAAAAGAAAATTCTGAAGTCTGAAAAAAAGATGATTACTTCATTTCTGAACTTGCTTTATATGAACTGATGTCTTTATCTTATCCTGAATATTTAAGTTATTTTATTTCTGATGGGAAAAAAAAAGAATTCCTTACAGTAAGAATCTTAATTCATTGTGCCAGGACCTCTAGGATTCAAAACTGGGAATGGCACAGCTCTTGAGCTCTCTAGTCTGTTGATCATAGTCTGAAAGCTCTGACATGACTGGCTGCCTGTAGAGCCAGGAACCTGTTTCTTGGTTTTGACACAGCGCACTGATGGATCTGCTGCACTGAGCTGCCAGTCCTGGCATCCTACCTTAGAGGCTTAGCTCTGGGGTAGAGCGGCTGGGCCTCTAGGCAAGCACCCATCTGATGATGACCTTTAATCTTGCCAAATTTTGTCAAATTCACAGAATTCTAAATCTTATTTCAATTTCAGTGAAACTGTTCCTCACAATGCTTTGTTTCAACAGCTCTGCTGCTTATTCTCCAAAAAAATGAATGTCAAAACTCAGTCCGTCACTAAGGTCCTAGGTACCTTTGTTGCTTTGGTTCCGAGATAAGACTATCATGTTTTAGACAGTATCTTGTTTTGTTTGCTTTCTTTTCACTGGCTTGTTATAGATTCCCTTGCTTTGTTTAAAACAAAACAAAATAAAACAAAACATAAAAGCAAACCAAACCCAGATCAGTCTGTCTTGAACATTAAGGTGCCAGACCTCACCTGACATGGTCTGAGCAGAATTTGATTCTTTTGGTTTCTATTCATTCTGGTTTACACAGCTCCTCTGAGCAGCAGTTCTTCTTTACAGTCCACTCACTGGCCTTTTCTCCTTGCCTTTTTACTTTAGTCTCGAAACTTCCGTCTTCATTATAGAGTAATGTGAAATTTCTTTCCAAAAGACTTTACTTCATCTCCACAGTCTCTCTCAAAGCTCTCTTCTCACTTTCATTTCTCACTTAAAACAAACTTTATTAGTCTTAGTGGAATAACTGTTGGTTTACAACAGAACAGAATCAGCCCCATTTTGTGACTTGTATCACTAAACAAAAAGTAGCTTAATATTGACCTGTTTTATTGTATAGTCCAACTTAGAGGGTCAAAAGATATTTTTGCTTTACATGACTGCCAGAATTTGGCAACCTTCAAAATTATATTTAAAGAAAAAATAGATTTACCTACAATTAACTGCCTAATGATAAATATTTTTATTTTTCATTACATAATTATTTTGGTATTTTTTATCTCTTTTCCATTGGTAGCTGGAGTAGATTATGTAGGCATAAGTCGTAATTTGGATTTTTCCCCCGGAGTCAATATGCAGACGTTTCGTGTGGTAATTCTGGATGACCTTGGACAGCCAGTGTTAGAAGGAACCGAGAAGTTTGAGCTTGTGCTAAGGATGCCCATGAATGCTGCCCTTGGAGAACCCAGCAAGGCCACTATCTTCATAAATGACTCAGTGTCTGACTGTGAGTAATAATTTTTTTTACCTTTTGACATTTATGCAGGAGATGGATGAGTGCAATACACAAATAACGCTTGTCCTTATGAATTGCACCAAAACCAGTGAATCTACGTATTTTAGCTACAGATGATGCATTAAGTCATTTGCTGTCTAGCTGCTTATGTTATATATCTGGTGCATTGCAACAACTAAATTTGAAATAGTGGAGGGAAAATACAGTAACTTTTGCAATTATACTTTACACATGCTTTTTATGTTTTTCTGCCCAGTGCCTAAGATGCAGTTTAAAGAATCTGTATATGTAGGCAATGAAAATGATGGACAGATTTCTGCCATGATATATAGGAGTGGGGATATCCGATACACATCCACCGTGAGATGCTATACAAGGCAAGGTTCAGCTCAGGTAATGATGGACTTTGAAGAACGTCCTAATACTGACAGTTCCATCATCACATTCCTTCCTGGTAAGCTCTTGATCTTATTTTAGAAGACTTTGTCTACTATGTTTTGTTTTGCTTTGCTTTGCTTTGTTTAACTGTTTTGGTTTGTTTTGTTTCAATTGTGTCTTCTCATAAAATAGTGCCAAAAACACCACTCTGGACAACCAAGCTTTTTTCCGTACACAATGGGCAGAGTGCATACAGATGGTGGTGTCTCTTTTTGCTTCATTTCTGACCTTGAGGAATAATCAATAGGAGCCAAACGGACATGTCTTCATATAAGTTCAGACTGAGTGCCATGATCTTTTAGATAGCAAAAGCAGGTTCAGCATAACACAATAACAGAAGCACAGACCTGCTGTCAGAAAGGAAACTTCAGCAGCTCTGCTCTTTGTTAAGGAGATTTCTGGTAAATATGTTTGACTTGCACTGAAATGAGTAACAGATCTTTCAACAGGGATATAGTTCTCTAATTTCTGTTTGAACTTTTTTTTCCCACTTGAGGCTTTCCTGAGGCAGTTCACCAATATTAGGTACTTAATATCTCACATCAGAGATGAAATACAAATAAATCAGATGTTAGTACCTTGAAAGAATATTGCCTGATTCCTTCTATTTGTGCAGAAGACAGGTTAGTCTTTTAGTCTTTTAAGTTTACACACACATAATATTTTTTACAAGCCCTAAACAAGTTCTGTCATGAGCATGAAATCCTTGGTTTGGCCTTATCAGAGAAATTACAACCTTCATATTTCTGTAGACATGTATCATATTTCTCTTGTAAAGTGAATTTTCCAGTCCATCTTTATTTAGAGCTGGCCTCAGCTTTTAGTGCTCTCATGTACTCTATACCTTTGTCATTACTTCTGTGCAAACAGGAAAGAGAGTCCAAATTGTTACGATTAATGGATCTGGACCCCTTAGGAAGTGACTTTCCTTTTTTTTTGAGTGTTGTTCTACCATTCCTCTGTGAAGACAAGTAGCAAAATGATCTGCTAGGATCATATCTTGTTTCCATAAGCTTCTTAGGCATGTTTAATATGCAGCAGTTTCAGTACAGTTTTCACATTTCCCGTGTAACAATGAGCAGGATGAGTATTTTGAATTTTTTTTTCTCCTCCTAATGGTTAATTTATTTTCTATAGGAGGAAAAAATGACCTCAGAAAATGAACACAGTCAACATCCTGGTCTGGTTCTTCATCTTGAAGAGCCTTGATCATATTTGCATGTATAATGATGAAAGAAAACTGTAAATTGACCTCGTCTCTATCATATCCTGTGCAGTTCCTTTTGTCAGGGATGTAGCAGTCATGCTCATGATGATGAGCCCACTAAGTCTGATGCTAGGAGCCAGATACTCTGAACACCACTCATAACTCTAGCTGCCCTTGTAGAAGGCCAAAGATAAGGCCTCTTTCCCAGAGTATCTGAACATCTATAAGTCTAGACACATTGATTTGTGCATGCTCAAACTGAGCATTTTGCAATTCCAAAGCATTTTTAAGGCAATATTCATTGTCACTTGGAATCAGTTGAAGGTTAAAAGATATTATAATCAAATGGAATAATATAAGTGAAAGTCCACGCAATTGTAGACCGTCCAACCAAAGGAGAGTTGAAATAAAAAAGTCCAGGACAAAATTACCATTAGTATTAGTGAAAGTTTCTATTACTCTGCTTCCTTGTGCAAGTATTTATTTTTCAAATGCTCACTGTGGGAGCAGGCAGTGAGAAGCAGTACTTTATTCTAAGATAAAACAAAAGGAACAATACATGCGAGTGGATATACCAAATGGAAACTTGTCTTAGAGAAGTCCCAGAATGGAGGATTCCAGTTTCCATAGAAAGGTAATGATTACTAATTCTGCTTTCACTGTTTTCATTACTCATTAACTCATATGATGTCAAGGTGGACGCCTTGGCTAGCAGAAGCAGCCTGTCGTTCTTTGAGCTTGGAGAGAAGTGCTGTGATAGAGCAAAGAACACCTAAATTCTGCATGATATTACCTTCAGAATGATTACAGGTGAAACTGAGAAGCCTTGCACACTGGTGCTTATGGATGATACTTTCCATGAAGAAGAGGAAGAACTACGTCTGGTTCTTGGGACTCCAAGAAGTGATTCTTCCTTTGGTGCCTCTGTTGGCGAACAAAATGAGACGCTGATAAAGATTCGGGATGATGCAGACAGTAAGAAATTATTTTGTTGTTATTGGCTTTTGGAAGCCCATTTGTGTGCTCTAAAAACATTTTTCTTCTAATTACAGAGGCTATTATAAAGTTTGGCGAGACCAAATTTAGTGTGAGTGAACCAAAGGACACAAGGCAAGTAGCAGTTGTAAAAATCCCAGTGCTTCGTCTGGGAGACACTTCCAAGGTTTCTATTGTGAGAGTTCATACAAAGGATGGATCTGCTACTTCTGGAGAAGACTATCACCCTATATCAGAAGGTAGGATCATTCAGATGATTATCACATCCTACTATTTGTTTTTATTCATGACTGTAACATAGTGTTTGAAAAATGAAATAACTTTATGAACAGAATACTTTGCAAACGCATCCATTAATACATTTTGCTGTTTAAATTCAGTATGGGCATGATCCCTTGTGGTATGCAATGGCCAAATTGCCCTTGAAATACTAGATATCAGTGAAGATATTTACAAAAGGATTGTGACTCCTTTGAAAACATCTGTAGCTCAAGTAACTGTGGAAGAAATGCGTGAGTGCCACCTGAGTAACATTTGCAAAGTATAATACCGTTACTCTGCAGAAGCATCTACTCATGGGATATGATTGTGTTCTTCCTCAAGCAATTTATTAAGCTAATGGCTTTTGCTCTATGTAGGAATTAATGTCTATTTCTGTTTATTTTTTTACTTTCATAATAATTAAACTTTCTATATCTCTGCAATTCACTGCCCGCTGCTCCTTACTAGTAATGAATGAGGAGAGAAGTTGTGCAACAGAATGAGAAATTTCCTAGCTGATAAACTTCTTTCCATTAGTAGCCCACCCACATAGTTTAGTGAATACTAATAGAGTTTGTAGCACTATGAAATTTTTTTCTGAAGTTTATGATAATACATGATAGTAATCTGTGTTTTAAGATTAATCATTCATTGGTGGAGTGCTTTAACAGTTTGGGATAAACTGTTTTGGTGTCCAGTACAGCTGAAAGATAGGACATATTTTTGAACATCCAGCAACAACATTGGACTATCTCCAAATTCTGTAGAAGAAGAGGCATTTCCCACTAGTGATATTTGAAGAGAAAATCTGTTAGCAGTAAGAAAATTATCACAGAATTGTTGGGGTTGGAAGGGACCTCTGGAGATCATCCAGTCCAACCCCCCTG